ACTTTTCAAAAATAAAGCAACTTGGTGTAAAAAGTGCTGTACTAAAATACAAACTGAGTCAACACAATTTTTAGCAAGTATTTTGTTGCTCTGTTACATTAGAATATATAGAGTTGCAGTTAAAATGGCAAAAAGTAATATAATAACACTATTTACAGATTTATAGGGCAGGGAAGCTTTACTTTGAAAACGGAGGTTGTACAAGTCTAGCAGGTTTCCACGGGAAACTCAGTAACTCTGTCGTACACATATATACACATAAGCACATATGTGTAATAAATATATACATGTGCAGATGCATATTTATGTATTAAAAATTGCTTCCATTTTTCTTTCTCTTAAGTGAGTATATATTTACATACACATTACGTAAAATACTTTATCCAGAAAAATTTTTCTACCCCTTAATAGAATGTGTTTTTAGAGAATTTATTACTCAGTTATACAACAATGCAGGAATTAAATACATGTCATAATATAGTAATTCTCATACATTATATTTTGCTAAAAATATTCTAAATGGAAATTAGACTACTGTAATGGCGGCCTTGAAACCAAATCATTCACATAAATTTACAAAATCAGTTATGTAGGAATAGTTGAGGAGTTTACGACTTGAACATAAGCTTATTTATTTTATTATTTTATATAGCGTATCTTTTGAGATGACGTAATTCTTGCCGAAGATGGTATCCTTTAGTCGTTATTTGCCATACAGATTTTTGCATTTGGATTCCGATTAAAGCTGTATGGATACTTGCACTACACATATGCACAAGTCATGGCATTGATAATTTTGCCGCGCTTTAAATAAAATCTTGAGAAAATTTCTACCAAATAAAAAATATTTTAAGACATACAATCCTTTCGAAGCATACAGAATGTCTCAAATAATGTTTACCTTCTTTGAATGTTAATAGCACAGAAACTATTAAATATTGATTTTTTTGTATTTGAAGATGTATTTGCATGAAGAGCGCGCGTAAACGCATTTGCTATTTCTAGTTCCTTCACGTTCCGTCAGAAGGCAGGCGTTAGAATATATGAAATAGTAGATGTTTGCGCATTTTCTTTCCAGTAGATATCTTAAAGCGTTGTCGAAAATCTGGAAAAGCATGTCAGTCGTAAAGACGCTGAAGGCCAGAATATGATATTCTGCTATCGTCATGTATAATAATTACGATAAGGAAGGTGGGAAGGCAAAAAGAACTGTGTGTTATGAGAAGAAAGAATGGTGAGAAAAAGAAGAACCAATGGACGAAGAAAGTATGGAGACTATTACAAACTTTCATAAAATTCATAGACACTCAATGATAGAACAAATATGACTACCTACAAGGGGTGATCAAATGAAAAGGTACGAAACGACGTAAAAACGTAACAGTGAAATATTTGCATAGTCTGCCATGGGAGAACGTAGCGAGACATCTCGTGATGCGATTGGAGTCTTTGACTAGGATCGGAGCATGCGCGGGAGCCCGCATACGCAGGAGAGAGCAGAGGCTGTTATCAAAAGCGGCGTCCAAATGATGCGGCAGTTCGTATGAGGACAGGATGGCGTTCGCGTTGCAAAATTCGACGACTGAGGAGCTGCGAGGTGTTATCCGATTTCTGACAGTGGAAGGTGAGAAACAGGCAGCTATTCATCGCCGGATGATGACAGTTTACGGGGAGAAATGTGTCTCTGACAAGTCTGTCAGAAAATGGAGTGCCCGTTTCCGTGGAGGTCGTGAGAGTGGGTGATGAGCCGAGACCGGGCCAGGCAAACATTGTCATCACGAGAGATCTCATCGACAAGGTGGGCGACCCAGTGAGAAGTGATCGGAGTGTCACATTACGAATGTTGGCGGCGAAGGTGGATGTCAGCTATGGAACCGTGTGGGCAATTGTTCACGACAGGTTGCGATATCGGAAGGTGTGTGCCGCTCGCGTTCCGAAGCAGCTCACCGACCAGCAAAAGGAACTGCGTATGGGGCTAGCACTGCAACAACTGTTTCGGTATCAGGAAGACCCCGCTTTCATGGAGCGGATCGTCCCAGATGATGAGACCTGGGGCCATCACTATGAGCCAGAGACAAAGCGGGCCAGCATGCAGTGAAAGCATGCTTCGTCACCTCCCCCTAAAAAGTTCAAAGCCGTACCGTCAGCAGGCAATGTGTTGCTCACCGTCTTTTTCGACGTTCAAGATCCGCTACTTGTGGAATTCCTCGAGTACAGAAAAACCATTAACTCCGATGTGTACTGTGAGACACTTCGGCGCCTATGCAGGTCCATCAAAAACAAAAGATCGGGGCTGCTCACGGAGGGTGTCGGGCTCTGCTCCATGATAATGCGCGTCCACACGTCTCCAGAGTCACATGCATGGAACTGGCCAAGTTAGACATTTATTTACTTCAAAAAGAATTTAAGACCATTCATACATTTTTTCAAGTGGGAGACGTTGGACCATCCGCCCTACAGTTCAGACATGTCGCCCTCTGCGATTTCCATGTGTTTAGGTCCACTGAAGAAACACCTGAAAGGGAAGCGCTTTCAATTCGGACGACGTACTCAATGACGCTTGTGAAGGACTGGGTCTCGTCACAGCCGCAGGAATTCTGGGAATAAAGGAAATCTGCGGCTTGTTCATCAGTAGGATCGTTGTGCTCAGGCCTATGGTGTAGATTTTGAAGAAAGTCTACATTTGTACCCACCGTGTCGTTTCGTAACTTTTCATTTGATCACCCGTTGTATATTTCTTTTTCTGTAGAATCTATTTTTCATGCCTGCTATTTTTCGGCTCTATATCAATGTTGTTGAATTTCAAATGAATGCAGTTTTTATTTTATACGTGCTTCCATTTAACTTTATTTACTTTCCTGTAGTTTTTCATTTAATGTCGTTTGGCCACTAATAATTATTGTTAGTTTAGTTCCTTGAAAGTGGCAACAAAACAATTCATAGAATTAGGAAAATATGTTTTTGTAGTTAGTTAGGCTTATTAAAGAAGAATGACATGTTATATACCTGAGTGATGTTTTATTAAATAAATGTATACTTTAAAATATTTTTAGTAGTTTCTTAGAGTCCGTGATACGCTGGTAGCGTAATAGTTTATTTTGACGCGTAAGCGAACACATGCAGTGCTTGATTGATCGTAATCACGAATATCTAAGTTTTAAGCACTGTGATACCGACGGAAAAATATTCTGTTATTAATATTCCTTTTTCCCAAAGAATGTAAATATTATTTTGGAACGAACATCATATTATTTACTTCTTAAGATTTATTGGATATCACAAATTACAATTATTACAATTTTTATTTTTATTATAGCAATCGGAAATAAAATTAAAAATAAAATAAATATAAGGTGAATAATACTTTTTCTATAAAATTTTTGAATTAAGACGTTTATATTTCATTCATTTTAAGTTAAAAACGGATTTTTTTTCCCTATTTTTTTGTATTTTAACTGGCATAGAATATAAGACTCCTAAAGCATCTTTTGATTAGGTTAAAAAACAAAGGAAGATACTCTTATAAACAGGAATCCAAAACATTCTCATCTATACAACAAAACTGCATAAGGACCGATAATTTTGCATAGAAGAGGAACGACTTAAAAAAGATAAGTTTAAACAAATCTATAGGAAATACCATTAACAAGGGTGCTACTTTGGTAGACCGGTTGCACGGATTTTGGCGATTTTTCTTTTGGCGAGTAATACATCTTATAGTAAACCCATTGCTGAATAAGTTATTTATAGTAGCCGATATTTTGTTATCATTTTATTAAAAAAATAATGCGTTTTATTATGCATAAATTCCGTGTCCTAAATATTATTTATGGCTTCTAAATATTAAAAATCAATTTAAATTCGCATTTTTATTTGAAATAAAAATTTTATTGTTTATAATATTTGATATAATTTTATGTTGCGGATGATGTAATCAATGACGTCACCTTACTTAAAAAGTAATTGGTTTTATTAATATCTATAAATTTAATCTAATGTTTTAAGCGTTATTTATGGCTGTTAAATATTAAAATACAATTTAATTTTGCATTTATTTTAAAATTTAAATAATTTTAATTCTATGCGTGATGTAATCAGCTCCCTGATTGGTTACTGAATATTTGTGCATTACCGCGCCATTTTAAAATTTTATTATTCATCTCTTCGAATTCCTCAGATTTCAAATGGAATGGATATCTCCGTTTCGAAGATGAATGATGTTATTGGGAATTCCCAGGAATTATTGTTATTGGAATAAAAAAAAAATTGCCCTTTGAGTCTTTATTTTGGCCAACCTGTCTTTCCTAATCAAAGATTTATTTATAAATTATTAATAGCGTCAGAGAAAATTAATTTTAAATTTTTGGAGGAAACCTCGCTAATTGCTTCTTCAATGAAGTGCGAGAAATGTAGATCACAGATGAAGATGGTTAAAAGAGCCGATTCAATTATCATTCCGATTTTTTCGTGGTACTTATCAATAAACAACAGGTTAAAACAACTCAAAAAATGTAAGACTCAAACAAACAACAACTCAAAAAATGTAAGTACATATTTTTCTTTTATTTTATAATTGTATACTTCAATTTTGTTTAAAAAAATTAATACACTATTTTCAAAAATTGCTGAGATAATTATTGTCACATATGTTTTAATGTTAATTATATTCTATATAACGTATTTTAAAGTATTTGAATTTAATAATGTTGGTATGATGGTTTTTAATTCGATATTCAATTTCAGTAATATTTTAATCTAATTAAACGTTGGCACAATGTTTTTATAGCGGTGTTTTTATTCTTGCTATATGAAAGTAATAATAACCTTACTTTAGTATTTTATACTCATAGTAAATGTATTTATTTACACTTGCCTGCCATCTTAAAAAAGGACATTTTCAACAAAAAATTAATCCATTACTTTTAACGATATTTATTTTTTTCTAAGTTTCGAATACTTTACTATGCGTAAAAACAGAGTTTTTTAAGATGGCTGACGATTGTGAAAATCGCGCCAACAATTGCGCCAACGTAAATCGCCAAAAATCGCCGTCTACCAAAGTAGTACCTTAACGAGTAAGGCAATCGAAAAAAAAAAGTGTATCATTCCACAATTTTGAAAATGCAAGTAAGAATTTGCAAAACGTAAGACACATGCATATTCATCGCCTATCAGGAACAGAATTCAAAATATTTTCAAGAGATAGAGACTTTATTCAAGAGACAGAGGCTGTCTCTAAATTGAACCAAATGTAATTAAGATAATTTACCTCGTGAGATTCCTTTAATTTGATTACCCAATTATTTTATTTTTGGATCTGTACCGTAACAACTCCCTTTGAATTTTCCCACCAGAATGCAAATTTAGTTCGCGTGTATTTTAAGTTAGGGTTTTGAGATTGTGAGATGGAGCGTATTCTGCCCCTCGTAGCCACGTTAGTAGGCTACTGACGTGGATTTAGATAATGTTTCGTGTCTTCAGCCTTGTATTATAATTGCAGACAGTTGAAATACACGTCGATGAAATTCTGAGTTAACTTCGTGTTAAAGTTCTCTGTGTAGTCTTTGGCTATTAGTTTATTTAAACTTAAACCTTATATTTGACGTACTGCTTTTAAGTTTCTCACCCTAAATGCTGGAGGAGCTGTAAGCATTAGAAGTGCCTTATGTTCGTCTTATTCAGTTTTAAATAAACTATCTTTTACACGTTTCCCAAGTTTCAGTTATTACTTAGCGATAAGTAGCTTAACATTCCACCAAGAATTAGACACTTTGGATAATTCTCCAAAACGTGAAGTTCTGTAGGTTGTAAGGTAACCCATTTTGACTACGAATGCCTTAATTATTTATCGATTTTAAACCCGTACGCTTAAATAATATGAAATATAGTTACAATAATTCTGTACCATTTCCATAAAAGGAGGAAATATATTTTTTTTGATCTCTCACGGACGAAAGTTTCTCTAAAATTATATATGATTGAGGTAAAGGCTGTCATACACAATTCATTTGTCAGATGTGTCCATGTTTTGAAACTTCTAATATTAGTTTCTTAGGGTGGTCCTCTTTCAGATATAATCTTTACTTTAAAATGAGCGATAGAGGAAATAAAATAATTAAATGAAGTTCATCCAGTAACAGAGATTAGGCATATGTGAAATTTTGACAGGAATCTTTTACACAAAGTGGAGTAGATTCTACCAGTGAAAATAGTTTCATAATACTGACATGATTTAAAATTCTTACAGGAAGCTTATTATATAAGCTTAAGTGCAATAAAGAAAGCTGAATTAAAAATAAATTTACATTATGCTATGTCTTCTGTTTCTCATTAGAGAAATGGCATGTTGTAGCTAGACTACATGCAGCTAAGTCCTTCTAAAGCAGGCCACATATATTATGTCACAAATAACTAGCAGATTGTACCATCATAGTACAGTAATACTCCGAAGTTACATAATAATTCCTTCCTAGACTAATGACGTAAGTCGAAAAATATTTCCATAGACACAATTAAAATTGGGATTTTATATTAAAACTATACAGTGTGTTAAAGTAGGAAGTGCTGTTCAACATAGTTTTCATTAAAAATTAAGGTCATATTCATTGGCATTAAATAAAATCTCTAACTTGAATGATATTAAAATTTTTGTCAATACACAACAAAATTATGAAACCAAACGAGCTTCTTGTGATAATTGCTCTTTGAAGAGTGAAAGAAATCCCATACTGAAGTATGGAACCACAGACATTATCTCAGTTTAGATGCCTTTGAGCCAACTGCAGACTGTTAAGCCAACTCAGAGAGGTTTTAGCAGGATCCCTTCCCAAAATGTTTCGAATGTTCCCTGCACTTTTCTTTTGTGGTTATTGTTACTCTCTCAAGCCATTGCCTTCAAAGATCTTCGCTTTAATGAGATTTAGCATTTCATGTAATTTTGAAGCCACATGGATCTCTCCTTTTCTCCATACAATTAGGATCGTCTTTCTCAGTTTCTTCGAGAACGCTTTAGATATGAAATTTCGAGACACGAATTCTTGTTCTTAAATTCACTTAAAATGATCCATAAAAATCCTTTCTAGAATATCCGAACTGCATAAAATTCCCATTTCTTACTATTTAGGACGCGACATAAGATCAGGAGACATAAGTGATGACAGTGTAAGTCAGAGATTACTACATAATGCATTGTTTTTGCTTTCTCACAAAAGGTCTATAAGAGGAATGGCCAACAAAATCCATCTCAAAGACTTTATCGATCGATGCCGATCACCACAATTACTTCGCAGAAAACTGAAATTAAATAACATAATATGATAATCGGTAAAATAATCTTAGTTAAGTGAATATCAATAATGATCAATTGGAAAAGTTATAGTATCTGTAAAGTGTACTATGGTATCCTCTGTGATGTGTAAGAAAATTGCAGTACATTGTAAGGCATCTATGCTGTGATTTGGCTGATCAAGGCACAAGAAGTTAAGATAATGTATTTTTCACACAAAATGTTCCAAATACGGAAATTACAGGGTTTATTTCCTTATACTTTTTCCTAGACATGCTCTTTAGTTAAATAGCATTTAAAATGCTCAGGATGAAATTTAAAGCAGGCTGTGTCTAGGATGATTGTCTAGATCAGTCTAAGATAAGTGACCAAACACACAAGCTAGAGACTTATCCTAGACAAGACTTGATCAAGATTTATCCTAGATATGATATGACGTACACCAGAGATATCAAAGATAAATCTGGATCATGGCCACAATAAAATGTAAATATGGTTACTTTTACATTTTTTTGTCTTTATATGCTATATACTTTTAATTACAATGTTTGACGATATAATGTAGCTATTTTTGCGAAAACAGTTTTAACATTGAAAGCTTATTAAATATGTAACTGAAATTATATATTTTTATACAGCAGCAGTTTTATTGCTGCTTAATAAAAATATAAAGTTGGTTACTCCTGATGTTGAATTTACATTTGTTATTATCATTCACTTTCAGCCTTAATTCTTTTTCTGATAGCAATTGTTCCCCTAAAAGTCCCTACATCGAAAAAGAATTAGATTTGAGATGTTCTGTACAGTATTGCCTACAGATGTTCCTGGTCTCCAGAAATAACAGCAAAGTCCCAGAATGAAAGCAGTTGTAGCATTCGTTTCTTTTCTATGAGCTGCAACTGCTCTTATCTCCTGGCACGCATCTGTTTTTGTTTTCCATAAAAAATGTATCTTTTGGACAGTCGTGAATATAACCATCATATTCGTCGTCCACGTTGTCGGCCGGGACGCACACGAGGAATTTGGCACAATCTTTAGGATGAGGATATACACCCCTCCTTAGGCACGTAATGCTCCCGTCCGGCAACAAAGCCAGAGCTGGTTCTCTAGGCTCCTGTTGACTAGGTGTATACCTCCTGGTCGTCGCTGGAACAGCTGGACGCCCGGTTGGAAGAACTATCTAATGAACAAAAGAAAATATAAAATTACAATTATTGCATCTATTTTCAATACTTTAACACGATTCTTGAAGTTGTTATGTCTATGAATTAGATATGACATACATGAAAAAAGAAAGCTTATATGTTCCTAACCAATTGTTTTTAATTTCTACTCTGGCTTGCTTGTTTTGATTTCAAATGCAGGAAAGTTCTCACCTAAGACATAAAGTAGAAGAAGGTACGGATTGATAAAAAGGACGAGTAATGAAATCGTCAACTGGATAGAAGGCATACATTTATAGTGCACGAACGATGTATAATAACATTTTTTGAATTTGTAGTAATGAAGAAGGACCAAATAATGTAAGCAAATGAAGAATTATAAAGTTATGTGCATATCTCTCATTACCAAGTTCAATAATGAGCGAAGACTTTATTTGGTAATCAACAATTTCTGAAGCTATGGTGGTTTGATAATAGTTCATACGCAAACCAACCTAATTCATCCTATTAGAACTTTTTTAAGTTACACATGTCAAATGTGTAAAACAATATCCTTTTAGATTTATCACGGGTGTCCTTCGCTTTTCTTATTCGCGATGTGAAATTGTAGATGAATTCTGCAAATATAATTATTTAATCTATTATTCTTATTAAAATATCTAATGAATTAGTTTTCTGCTTTAGTGCATTAAAAATCACATTCATTTTTAAAAGAAAGCTTATTGTATTCGTTTTTGATTATTTTTTATTTAATATGGTTCTAATAGTTAAAGCTCACGAGATTAGCCACGACATTTCAGAAGGAGAGGCGAAATGAAGATTTTCTCATGAAGCCACTTAAACAATGTATTATGACTTGTAGAGTCATTAGGTTATATTTTTAAGCAGCAGAGACGTGAAAAATGAACATTGCCTTCGCCGATTCGAACCTGGACCTCTCGAATACGCGCCGAGTGTGCTAACCCTTACACCACGAAGGCATACGGGAAGAAGGAAGAAAATACACTACAAGAAATGTGGCAAAACTGCGAAGACAAACATGGGGCATAAACAGACTCTGGATGAACACGATCAGCATAACTGTTTCATATTTAACGGACATATTTATATTTAATTCATATTTAACGGACAAAAACCTTTTTACGCAATTGATATACAATACTGAAGTAATATAATAGTTCTGAGATACAGTGTTAATAAACATCACCATGGGATTTGTGGAATGTCCCCTCCATTACATGGGAGCCAACACCCAATGAAAATACTCCTGATGAATGCATGGCATAGGGCTAAGCATCTAACTTGAGCTCAACAATTTGAGCATTACTTCACTTTATTAATGAAAATGAGTAGCCTGGTCTAACCAATCATAATTCAATCTATTTTGGACAGATGTAAAGATTTGTGGAATAAGAAACCTTACGATTCCATGGATCCTCCATGGCAATAGGAAGTTATACAGGCTGTATTGGCTCCACAATGGTATGGGGCATATCTAGCGGGCATTTAATGGAACACCCGCTATATCTACAAACTTTCCTGATTTCAGGTAAATTCTGCTGCACGTTTTTGTAATGAATTAAACCTATTCATACGCAGCATTCACTATGAAGGATTTTGTTTCTTCTAACAGAACTGTAGAGAGAGGTATGTGTATAGATACTAAACTGCGATAGGAAAGTTTGCAGTACCTAAGCCATTAAATCGTGATTTCCAATCACATAATGGTATCCAGGCAATATACAGAAATCCCACATCTCATACGAAGTATCGTGTTTATTGCTTACAAATATTCCAGCATATTCGTCCATATTTATGCTGTTCTCTCACGAAGAATCTACTAGGTGTACGATAGGCGTTCGTTTTTTTGGCACTTCATTGAATATAAGGAAAGCCGTTAAAACATTATATAATCAGCTCATTCCTCGAGATCCGAACACGAGGCGATCTACCAGAGTTCAACTGTCATATCACTTGAGCCCTATTGGATAGGAAGCTTTCTAGAATTAGTTACCTAATATTTAAATGTTTTTTTAAAGGAAGCTAGCAAGTAACTGAGTGAAATCGTGCTATTGAAAACTGAAAGGGTATCTTTTAAAGAGGGTATGCTTTCTTTTAGATATTTCGCAATTTATGGCATCATCGCAGAGACTTTTTATCTAAAGAATTATAGAATTTCATTTAACTTCATCAGCAGCAACTACATAGAATTACTTCTTTCGACTTTGTTAATAGACGATTATATTGAATCTAATATCAGAAATATAGTGAGTGGAAACACAATTATCTTCATTCTTTTAATCGTCATTTTCTGTCATTTGCCAACCATTGAGGCAGTCTAATAGAAAGAAGGAAACCATAAAAAATAAAGAATAAAATAAATACAGGAAACAAATATTAAAAGAGGCTATATTTGATATAATGTAAAGTATAATTATTTTGCCATTTTATTGGAATAAAATGCTATTTTTATGCTAAAATATTGTTTTATAAAATACTACCAAGTAAAATTACAAAAAGGTAATTTATAAAATTTCATGTATCAGTTATGAATAGAATTTTCTTACCATTTATGGCGATAAGAAAAAAAAACTGAGCTGATGGGGTAGGGTGATTCGTCTTAAGGAGCTATATTTTATCAAGGAAAATGCTGAACCTAAAATTTTTAACCAGGCCCAGAGGCCTCCTACACATCATGAAGATTCATTATAATCTTCTACTCATCTTGAAGATTCAGTATGATGTTCTACTCATCATAAAGAGATTCCATGGTTCGACTCAACTCCTACTTTTCATGAAGATTGATCACGATGTTCAACTCATCATGAAGATTTTATTTCTTGTCCTACAAATGGTGGGTTGGGTAACCATAAGCGTACGCTAGCTAGAGTTATGAACTTTCGTAAAATGTTTCTTGAATTTTCTTCATTTTCTCTGAAACCTCAGAACCGTCAACTCTTATCGCCTATATACATACACATACACAGTCTTGAATTATCGAAGTCACATCTACATAGTTGCAAACCGAGAATACAAAATGTTTTTATTGAGGTGTGTCAGTTTCGATTATAAACAAATAATTGAGCACTAAATAAAAGCGATGCATCTACAGCGCAATAAAGCTACTGAAAGCAACTATTCGAAACTTAGACTATATTTTATTGCACGTGATAGTAAATAAACTAAGGAGCTATAATATAAGAAGTTCTCAAATTTAATTTTAATATTTATCCATATTGCACATCATCAAAAATAAATTTTCATTAGAGGCCGTTCCCATATGGCGGTGCAACAGTAGTGGATAAAGATATTTCGGTATTTATAATTATTAGGAAAGGTGAGAATTATAGCATATGTTATGCGCATGTCTAAATAGTACCCAAATCTTTATTTTTCTTTTCTTTTTTAGAATTTAAATTAACAGCAAGCCAGACTCAAAAAATAATTTATTTGAAACGTATGTTTTCTCACTCGTAAATTTTAAAGATGCACTTACCAACTCTTTAGGTGCTGGAGGGCCTCTGAACCTAGATGTCTGTGTTGTTGTTGTTGTTGTAGGTGGCCTAGTAACAGGCCTCGCTCTGCGAGTAGAAGGCTTAGGAGTAGTAACTTCTTTTGTTGCCACTTCCTCTAGAACATTCGGCCTCGCCACTCGACGTACTCCTACAGTCTGAGCTAAGACATAATTATTATTCCTTCTTCTTTGTTGTTTATCACTGTCGGTATTGGTTGATATAAGCAGCGTTCCTGGAGGATTTCTTTTTTTTCCTTCACCTGGAACGGGTCTTACTCGCACCACTACTCTCCTGCTTGTAGGAGTTGGTTTTGTTGTAGGTTTGACGGTTGTTATATCATCATAGTCGTCAATGACGTCATCCACTTCTGATGTCGTTGTGACCGATTTATGTCTACTAGGAGTGTGATATACGAAAGGAAATTCGAACCCATCTTGTCCCTTGTCTTCTGCAGAAGAAGTTGTGGTATCTTCATCAAAGATGTCCTCGTGGAGTACTTCTTCTGCTTCTGGAACAGGAATGTGAAACTGTGGTCCTCGAGGCCTCACGGTACTTCGAGATTGCTGCTGTTCGCTCTTACCACTACGATCCGGCTTTGCATATTGGTTAAAAATATCAGCTTGCGGGGTGGATTCTGTTGTGGTAGGCCTCCTTCTATTGGGCGATCTATATTCGGGTAATGTTGGGCTCACAGTCGAAGTAGCTTCAACGGATTCCCTTCCATGGAGTTTATCATGAATCTGGTTGACTCCCAGCTGCTGTAACAATTGTAGGAGTTCCATCAAACTTTGGCTATTCATATTGATAGCATTCAACGGCGTTTTTAATGCATCCAAATCATTTTGTATCTCTTTCGGTATTTCTTTTACAGATGGTCTGACTGTTGTAGTGGTGGTTGTGGTAGTAGTAGTTGTGGTGGTCTTCTTAGAACGTGGTCGAGGGCGAGGTCTTGGTGTTGTAGTTGTAGTCGTTGTCTTCTTAACTCTGCATACGACATTAGCGGCATAATCACAGGAATCGCGTTGTTTGTTAAAGTACAGTCCTGATGGGCAAGTAAATGAGTGGGCAACTAGGCCCAAATTAGAAGGACCGCTGTCCAAGCACCAAAAATACTTTTTGCAGTCTGTTGGGTTGTTGAAGAAACCTTCATCTTCGCACTTAAACTCGGGACCGGGATCTGGTGTAGTGAAGGGTGGAGGTGTGGTCGATTTGATTGCCTTTGCTGTTGTTTTGGCAACTTGCTGACGTCGACTCGCTCTTTGAGTGGTTCGAGGAGCTGCTGTTGTTGATTTTTGCGTCAGCAAAGCTGGTCCTTCTTCCAAAGCCATCTTCAACGTATTAATCAATGGACTCTGTTCTCCATAGCATTTCCCCCTGAAGTCATCATTATCTAGTGTCCACACCATTCCTCCACCAAGACCTTCACTGAAAATAAATTTTACCTGTAACATGAAGCAACAGTTTAGAAAGTTGCGGTGCTTTAATTAAAAAGATAATTCAACCATAATTTTACTTTGAAATAATATCTCATGTATGGTACGCATATAAATTGAAGTTTTTAAATATTTTATATTCGGGAATTTAAATGACAATTACGAAAATAACATATAGTGCAGCTTCAGGTATCTGAAATGTGATAGAACAGTTCGATTAGCTAGAACTAATCGAAGTGTACGTGTGCGGAACTCATTTTGTCTAGATGGCTTGTTCTTTTGTAAACAAAATAAAATAAGTTCGTTAATAAATAATAATAATATTAAATAAAATAAGCTTTTTTCATAACACAACTTATTAATTAGACAGCGATATTTTTAAGCTGTATTTAGATAATTTAGAAGAAATTAGCACAACATGTAGATTTGCTTTGGAAGTACGGCAAATAGTTATACACACAGTGTGTCTCTGAGGTTTTTCGAACTAAGTTTTTTAATACACATAAGATTATCAAACACTATATAGATGACAGGGTGTGAGCTTTTGAATTTAGAAGAAACAACCATTTTATGATATTAGCAAGTTGTTTCGAAGATAAAAATTACATGTCAAATTGGAAGTGTTCAGATGAAGATAGTATAATTCATACTCACTTTCAGACAAACGTTTACACATGTTTCTTATAATATGAATAATTATGCATAAATTCTAACAATTTGAAATTGTATATAAGTTTGAAACATAAGCCAAAAATTTATGATTATATTTGAGTTCTAAATTTGGGATTGATAATCAGTTTTTATGTTTAAGAAAAAACTAGAGGTGATTAAACATTTTATACTTTTCAGGCGTAATTTATAAAATCGATTTTTTTGATAAGATAGCAAAACAAATGGAGAAAACATAAAAACATCAAAAGCATCAAATAGTAGGAAAGAAAAGCAAAACGATTAAAATATAAAAGCTTAAAAAAAAACGGTAATAAAAAAGAAACTTTAAAAAAGATACAAACTGTAAAGCACAACAAAAGCAAGACAGCATTTATGATTAAAGTATTTTAGAATGTAATTAAATTTCAAATTAATAAATATCAAACAGGTATAAAAGCGTGAAAACTTAAGGAAAAAAAAAACTGATATGAAAACTTACGAAGATCCTAGAATGAAAGAATCCAATGTGAACGTAAAATGGCAACCCCTCCCTGAGAAAAATTACTGCTACATAGGGGTAAACGATTACATTGTAAGAAGTATCTCGTAAATTCCGGTTGGTAGTAAAACTTCAAATAGAAGAGAAACATATCAAGATAAAAATGTAAAATTTAAAACTATGCAAAAAAGGGCCTCTATCTCATCACCTTCCAAATCGATAAAGTTTTCTTAAAACCCTGTTCCAAACTGACGTTGCTAATTTTTTCCCCTGTTTTAAATTTTTCATTGGTATGCTTCTCTTTATAAAAGATGATTTGCAATTGCTGTTGATTTTCGTCATCTGTCTCTTCAAATGACAGCTAGTGAGCTCAGCACCTATAAAGGCACTTCATACAACACTGTCATGGATTAATGTCCTTGAACAATTGAAAAATTTCTTTTGCTTTATTCCTTAAGCTCAACTGCTGAAAAATGGCAAACGTTAATCCTGATTTTTTTAAAACAAATTGCGACAGCAGATGAAACGTGGTGATTTCCTTATGGCCGTAGAGCTAAAAGCAGTCATATGCTTTGGTTGGAGAAGATTCACCCCGGTCACAGAAATTTACGTTTTGAATATTAAAAAAAAAAAAAAAAAAAAAAAAAAAAAAAAAAAAAAACATTGGTGACTATTTTGATAGAAAAAGGATAACCAGTGATAACTAATGAGGAAATAATAGTTAACTCGAGATTTTATACAGATGTAAGTTGTCCGCAGTTTCTAGCAAAGAAAAGAGTCACAGTTATCAACTACCAAATTTATTTCCAGATTTGTCACTTTTTGCCTGCTTTTACTTGGTTAGAGTGGTTTTACCTTAAACATTATTGTTTTAAAAGCACTGAAGAGGTTTAGAAAACTGTAACCAGAAATTATGATTTGTTTCTACAATAAGTGTTTTGAAGGAATAAAACAGCTGCATGAACGTACCAAGCATTGTAAAGAATTAAAAGGATCATATACTGAAGTCTAAGAATGCTTTTTCTTTAACTTTATATTTGGTGTGTATTTAGACTAAGACTCCCTAAGACTAATCCCCTAAGACTTTCGAGACACAGTGTTTTGTGTACAGTCTTCTGTAAAAAACTATATTATAAAACCCTTTTGTATTTGACTCATTTGTTTTTAATTTTAGTCAAATAAAATGCAATTTTTGTTTTATAAATTTTGTTCTTAACAAAGTTTAAAAATTATGCATTTGTTTAATTTAATTTTATAATAGTAAAATTAAATAAATAATAAGAAAGAATATGCAGTTATGCCAGAAAAAGGTATTACGTAATACATACGTATTACAACAGTATTTCATTGTTTCATTTTTAGTTGAAATGGTTTATTCGTAGGTATTTATTTGTAGGTTCGTAAAGAAATTAAATTCATTATTTAACCTTCTTCAAACATCTGGATCTGCTGAGCTTTTGCATTGGAACATAATTATTATTTTTAATTAGTATAAGTTCATGACATCACCCTTTCTTTAAAGGTCTTTTGATGGTCTTTTGATTTTATCACGTTCATGACATCACCCTTTCTTTAAAGGTCTTTTGATTTATCATATTACATCCGATTCCCTTCAATTTCTTTTTATACAAAAATTCATATCCTATCATTTAAAATCGGGGAGATACAAACAATTAATATTTTATTTATATACAAAGTTTTATTTTTCTGCAAAAAAGAAATATTTTATTTCTATACAAAAAAGGAAAAAAAAAATCTCTTTACTTTTTCTTCTTCCATACGCGCTTACCCTTAACCATTTTTCAGTGCGTTGCCATTCAAGAAAGAAAAAAAAACTTTTTTCTTCAAATTTAATGAGTCTTTTAATGGTTAACAAGCTTAGCTATTGAAAAGAATTATTGCAGTTTTTAATAATCTGAATCTTTTTTCATTTTTTAGAGTAATATGTCTAACATATATAAATTAATATATAAATATATAAATATTTCTAACATATATAAATATTTATTTGTAATATAAAAAGGAATAAATACAAAGTAAAAAGTAGTTCAAAACCTAATCCAAGCATCAGCAAGTTGTGGTAATAATGCAAAATGAAATAAATTTATAATGGGATTAAAATCCATTCTATATTCTCTTCGGAATAAACTATGTCGCCCAGATGGTATAGTGGATACGCGAGCCTACTACGGCATCGAAGGGCTCGGGTTCGAATTCCGGAAAAAACATGGATGTTTGTAAATATATAGTGCCGGTGCGGTATGGCAACACCTTCTTAAACAGAAGCCGAACTACGAGATCGTGACGTCACAAACTGGCGGCTGACAATCGCCGTTGGTCACCTACTATCTGCCTTTAAAGTATATATGTTTTTAAAGCTTTACTAACAGGAGAGTATTTTCTAATGATGTAGATACATATTATTTTTCGTTTTTTGCTTTATATATATTGAATATATATTTTCAATTCATTCGCGGATATAATATTGGAAACATTTTCCTTTGCACAAAATATATTATATATTACTAATTTTTCTATGATCTTATAGGGTATGTTTACAGTTAAAATAATGCTTTAAAGTACTGGTTGACTTTTGATAAGTAACAGTAAGGTAATGTTGGAATCTCCCTCCATACTAATAATATTCAAGTCACTTAACTGCATAAAAAATATATAAGAAGGATGTGTGGAGATATTTTTAAGGATATTAGAAGTTTTTAAATTTTAGCAGGGTAGATTTATAAGCACACATATTACACGAAAAACCTCAAATTTTCTAAGCCTTTTATTATTTCACAATATATCCATGCAAAAACTGCGCTGATAATGATTTTACTGGGACAATACTTATAGCATCCTTATATGAAGATCTAATACTCTGCAGCATAAAAACACAAGCAGAATTAGCAGCGTTTTCACAATTATATTTTGCTACATTCCTATTATGTTTTCACCTTTGAAATCTAAGAATGGCTTAATGTGAATTTCATCAACCATTAAAGTGACATATTATCGTTTTCGTCTAAAAAGCGGATTTTTTCCTTAGCATAATTCAGGAAATTTTCAGGAGTTTGCTCCACTTTAGGATCAACATTATATTCAGAATACAATCTTTTCAATGTAGAAGGATGTGGCAAAGTAACATATGCACTATTTCTTAAAAATTTACAGCAATGTGGAGAAATTGAAAACATCAAACTTGATACCAGCTGCTCAAATATAAACTGAACTACTTTCTTTTTATGTTCAGGGGCATTTTTTTCTAATTCCCGAAGGCCTTGAGTTACGAGTAATAAATTTTTAAAGCTGTTTTCATTATTATCACCTTTAATTTTTTCAACTTCTTTAAGCAATGAACAGAGATTATGCACATCATTAATTTTTAAAGGGATGGTTACTAATTTCATGGTTACTAATTTTTGTTAATGGAATATCTCTAAAATATGCTTCCACTAACAGATCATCATGGATAACGACTGATGCAGATATAAAAGGAGCAAATTCTGTGCTTATCTGGAGGAAAAATATACTATTTTCTTTAATCACAACTGTTAAATCATCAGGTATCTTAGCATTTTTTAGACATGATGAAAGCTCACTCAGATTACTATAATTACCTAATTACTAATTTTAAAGTAATAAAAGCAGGATTTCTAGTAATGTAATTTATATTTTAACAAAACAGGTAATAGCAAGCATATGTGTGTTTGTCTCCCACTCGGCAAGGGGGGGGGAAAGGATTCTTAGTGACATAAGTTTTAATAATATTTGAATTTTCATGCATTAGGAATTTAAATTATTTCTTGTTTTACGCAAAACTGTGCACTTTATATTACAATTTAAAAAACCATAAGCATATTTATTTCCTTCACAGTTTCTTTAGAAAAACTTTTAAAAACAAAATATATTAAATATTAAGCTAAATAATTTCATTTGTTGCCATATACATATGGAGTTAAAAGTTCCAAGTTATAAAATTAATCAAAAAGTAAAAAATTGGACATTTTAAAAAGTAAGTGAATATTTAGCACGCAATTCGATACATAATTATTAACCATACAATTCGATACATAATTATTAACCATACAATTCGGTACATAATTATACTAATCGATACGTAATTACACAATATTATACACAATGTATTCTATAAAAATGAAATTCCTTAACATTAACGTATTCATTCTTTTAAATGTAGAAGCAAATACCTTAATAAATTTAAATTTCAAGTTAGGCTTAACTTACCCGAGAATACTTCGAAATGGTAAAATTTTCTCGCGGTATCGATTTTAACCATCTATGTAATACATCTTGTTGCTTAGGAAATCTATTTACTGATACTTTAGAACCGCCACAATAATTTTCTCGGCATAACGGCACACAGCACTTTAAAGGCATGATTGAAATCGATAAAAAAAATATCAATATCAAATTAAGGCGATATGGTTCACGCGCCTTCTCACGACCAAGGACGAATTCCCCTAACTTGCTAATGCCATCTAGATGGCCTTGGTTTAGGGGCGATTTTTCGCATCCCATCGAGAAGGCCAACAGTTTGTGACGTCACTAAACTACGAGCCTTTCAGTAGGGAGGCTTGTGTTTAAGAAGGTGTTGGGTATGGTGGCACTCTAAATATGCGGCGAGCCGAATGTCCTGTCATGTGGATTGGTGGAAGAACCCCGGATCATAGGGGCCCGGGGTGCTCTCCCTCAAAATTGGGGTGGAAAGTAGGAGTCCAACCTCTCTTCGGAGCAGGCTCTGGGAACCATTGTTCCATGTAATATGGACAAGACAACAACAACAATGATGACTTTTTTCAATGGACAATGAAGAAATTGGAAAGAAAAAAAAAAAAAAAAAAAAAAAGGTTAATTATCTTAATTATCAAAAAAAGGTTGCTATAAGTTAAGAAGTTCGACAAGTGAATTAATCTTGGCGCAAACTGAAAATGTTTGCTAAGATAAATTTTTTAAATTCTCCATAAATTTCTCATCAAAAATTATAAAATTTAATATCTAGGCATAATTTGAGTCGTAAAATCGAAATATGGAACACAAATTGGTATGTTATTTGAGAAAAAGTCCGATTTTGTGGCAAAATACCTATGTTAGAACTTAAAGCTATATAAAAATCTAATACATATCTTAAGTTGCGCTTTCGAGACATGGAAAACGCAATTTTCGTCAATCGCCTCAGTAGAAAAGATATAGAACCGTCTCCCTTTCTCGCCCCTCCCGCGTAGTGTACATTAAGTTACGTCGTTGTTAACAAGAGAAAATCTACTGAAGCAGAAATTAATTGCAAAGTCTTTAAAATACATCTGTAGCAAACAATAAATAAAATAATCTAAGATTTACAACTAAAAGATGCTAAAATCATAATGTTCAACATTTTTTGCTGAGGCACGCGGCTCAACGTAGTAACAGTTTTAGAACCCTGTATGAAAACTATTAAAGAGGAGATAAATGGAAATACATTGTACTTTTGATGAAGCATGGCGTTACCTGAATGGTTGCAACAAACAAAGGCCTAGTTATTATTGAAAAAATGTACAAACCTGATTTCGTCAATGCAAAGAAAGTTACAGCAAGGGGTTTATGGTGGTTGCAGGATTCTCTTACAAAGGGAAATTAAAAATAAGAAGAGTGAAAAAAATATTAAAATTTATTCAAGGTGCTAAACTGAAAATTTTTCGTTATATAAATTCTGTTTCTTTATGCCAATGACTTTCGAAGAGTAAAACTTGAAAAAGAAAGGCAAAGATAAAGCAACACGTCACACTTCGAAAAGTACCTCTGTATTCCTTGGAAAAAATTAAGCCTGATACAGGTATTGCATATATATCTTTCCAACGTAGTCTTGTAAAGTCCTCTGACATTTTGCTAATGACTATCATGCCTCTGGTGTCTTGAAAAGAGCTCTTTCTAAGCGCAAACCCGCCACGATTGAACGATTGATTTAATATCTGGTGAAACATGTAATATTTTTTAAAAATTCATATTTCCCCCAAACTTTATAGTTGTTCGACAACGTTTTAAAATTGAAAGTCGGAAAACAAAATTGAATAAATAAATAAAATTAAAAATCTGTTTCTCACCTTTTCTATGATGATATCTTCATCATCAAATCCAACCCATTGATTGTCCTTGTAGGCATAAGGACCCATAAGTTCAGGATAGGGAGCCTCCAAGTCCCATTCGTCTTCTTGGATCATCTTACAGATCTGCAGGAGAAAAAGTAACCTTACTAACTTAGCGTAAATTTTGTATGTATCAAAATTATTAAAAAATAAAATTACAGCAGTTTTTTTTTCACTGTACGCCATTTGCAGTTGTTTTTTGCCCTACCTTGGATCATTTGAGAATTAACAATTTCAACTTCTACTGTGACATTAAACTTAGACTTAAAAAAGTAAAAGTCTCTTAAGTTTCGTTTAGTTTCAGTCAATGAAAAACGAGAAGACTCAAAGTACTTTCAAATTGCTTTAAAATTTCTTTGCTACATTCGGTAACAGTAATAAATAATTATCTAAACCTGCCTTAAAAATTATATAATCATCACTCATTTATAGATGAAGGAACTCATGTAGCCGATATTTGCATAAAAAAGATGCATTTATTGCTATTCTAGTCTCTATAAATTTCTAGCTCATGGAATATTAAAGAATGCAATGGTATTATAACTAATATAATAGAAATATAATAAAGTTTATTCAGATTCCACATATCATTAATTTTGGCTCTTAAAATCATATGTTTTACATTTCAATACATGTACATTCAACCATTATTTTATTACTGTAATGATTGCTTTCATCAGTCGATGTTTTGGCAAAATTACAAAACCAATATCTTCGTCTAATAACAGGTGCAGTTAAATCCACCTCTATAGCGTCTATGGAAGCGTTAACCAGCACTCCTGTCATGCATGACATTTCTAAAAATGCTGCAATTTTGTGTCAAAATCTTTGCAGGCTCCCAAATAATAAATATTGGAGGAATTACAATTTTACCAATGATAGAAATTTAAAGACACAAGAGGGTTTCAATGAAACTGCTTATCAGTTATCAGAAGACCTAGAGCTTCTTCGAGAAATGAATGTAATGACTGTGCCTTTGTGCCCTCTTGAATACGGGGACTTCTGTGTATATCTTGAACTTGGCGAGAAAATTGATAAGAGTGAGAAGCCCACTGCCCAGATCAGACCTGTCTTTTGACTATACAAAATTTTTTGAATTCCCATCTTTTTAACTTTAGACTTAAGGACTCTTTAGCCTGTACTCTTTGTAACTCTGGGCAGTCCATGAATAAGGAGCAGGACAGGACAGGAACAAGTACAGGGGGCACCATATCATAGCTTATAAGCAAAAATGGTATTGCCTCGGGGTACTACCTTTTCGTATTTATTGAGTACTAAACAAGGATACTTGCAATCATACAGATGTTATAAATTTGGATATACAGAACTGCACATTGTTACATTTGGTGATGGTAATGTTCATAGGTAGATGAGATATAATAAAGTTTGTAATAATAAATAGATACAATAAAGTTCGTCAGTCTATCCATATAGTACGAGTCAGTAGAGTGTGGTGCACACAGTTGTTAGAGCACACAGTTCAGTATGATACACTTAATAATTGAACCATAAGTCTAGATAGTTCATGTCAGTTCAGTGAATTGCACTCATATGCCAAATCATTAGGATAAGGAGCATACTGACGAATGCACTGTACTGTTATCTTTTAATTCCCAATAATTTTATCTTTTAATCTTTTAATTTCCAATCAATTATTATTGTTCTTAAGTATTGGGAATCAAGATCAAGACCAATGGCTTAGTGGCCAAATGTCTGGCATTTGTATAAATAAATAAAATAAAAACATTTAAATACATTTTAAACTATTTTTTATCATTGTTTTTTTATATTAAATAGCAAATACAATAACTATCCTAGCTTCCATTAAAATTTCTCAGCCTCTATTAAAATCAGAGCGTTAGTCTACAACACCAACAATTTAAGGGCTGAATAATATGAAAGTACGACTGAGAAATATTAACCCCCTATCCCCAGGTAATGCATTTGAATGTGCATAGTTTCTGGTAAGAGAATGAAGTGGGAAGAAGAAAGATAAATTTATATACAGCAGTATCTCAGCACTAACAAGGCAAGGTGTCTGTTAAGGACTTGAAACATAAACATAACTTGAAAACTTAAATATGCAAACACTGTATAATCAGATTACAAGCTATTTACAATATATGTGTTCTCCAATTAAAGTCGAATCGATATGATGCAAAAAGGTATAATTATTATGTAATCGCATGGTTTATATTACCCAGATTGAGAATATATACTGGCAGGTAGGCACTGCATGCAATTATATATCGGGCTAATTACAATCTACATTATGTCTGTAATAAAAACCCATTGTTTTTACTGCCTACACAATTAAATCTGGTAAAAGTAGTATTGTTAGTAAGGTATTTTTTTGGTTACTGACAAATTGAATAAATAAGGACTATGTACGCATTACAACCTAACGCATATCGTTATTATGATAGAGACACTTATGTGACATTGAGGACCTACTCTTGAAATGCAGAGAATAAAAATCTAAAGTATAAGAATTTTGTTTTAAGAGATGTCTCTTTTCGATAAACGAAAGATATTTTTCGTACGAATGTACATCTGTAATGATACAGTAAGAAACAATCAGCGTTCATGGCAACCTAATTGAAGATTAAAACTAAGTAGCTGTATCTAGTACAAAAATGAACCGTTTAGATGGTATAATGGTTAGGGGAGTGACTAATGGTCCGTGATGTGGTGGTATGGTTTTGCAGGGCTGACCTCACAATATGTCTGTCCTCTCTCACGTTAGCCATGGGAAGGCGTTGAGATCCTTCATGCCGTTCAGTATGATCCTCAGCAATCCATTGATTCCATATTCGCATGACAGTGGCTGGATGCGACCCGCGATATCCCGAAAAGATAATTTACACTTAAGATAGGGAACGATCCTGCATCTATCAAATTTCGAAATTTGCTAGTAAGCATTTTCTCTTCTTATTCGAGGCATAACACGATATTCTGAACAAATCTTTGCAAAACTTTTACCGAATGAAAAATCCACTACACAACTTTTTTTTTTTTTTTTTTTTGCAGTGCTTCAGATGTCGTTTCTCCCTCCTGCGTCGTCTAAATGCGCGCAAATACTAATCATTTGCATATCCCAACTTCTTTTTCCTTTCATGTGATTTTGACGTTCGTCAAATCGTTTGTTTCTGGTTTTGCAATTTTAATGGGCAGCAATGTATTGAAAGTTGGGAACTTTAAGAATTCAATAATAGATTCCGTAGGATCTTATAAGCCTAATTATTATGATCTAATTTTATGATTTGCATTCTTCGAACTGTTTTGATGCTAGTTTTAAGATATTATTAGATGAATAATTTTAATAGTTTATTTTCGTTATTATTTGTTATTAAGTTTGTTATTATTCCTGGCATTAGCATTGGCACCTGCCAAGCATAAGTTAAAAAAACAACCTATTTATAAAATCATGTGAAGTGGTAAAATGATGAATGCTGAGGTGAACGAATATGTAAAAACTAAGATAATGATTTTTGATGTACATCAGGGGTAAAATCAAAACATGAGACACATTAAAATACATAGTATTAAAATACTACTACACAATTTGTAAAGATCCCTTTTTTCAGGTACTGAAAAAATTAGTATTAACCTGCTTACCTATTAAACGATCAAGAGGCAATTAAGACGGAGGAACGTATGATTGAGGTAGTTAAGCCAGATTTAGCATTTTATATAAAATTCCTTTTTTTTTTAAATTTAAAAATGTGGAAACGTGAATCTTTACGCCATTGAAAATTTTAAGTTAATGGAAGTACAATACCCGCCGCTTTTTAAAATAATTTCTCTTCCAAACACATTTGAATTTAATCAGCAACTGAGTATAATAGACAGAAGTTTGTGCATTGCAAATTGAGATACTAGTTTTAAATTTTGCAAGTAAAATAATAGCTAACATCTAATGCAATTATTCAGCCTAAAATAACTATGAAAATTTAATGCTACGTTTCAAATATCTGCGCAATGTTGATATACATTTTAATTAAAAAATATTTATATAATTACGTTCTCCGATGAAATTTAATCTCTTAAAAACAACTATCCTATCTGTGGTTTTTTCATATTGCTCAACAACTGTTTTTAAATTGTATTTCAACTTTGTAAAACTATTGGCAGCTTTTTTTGACCAGCACCTTTCGATACAAGTGTTACTCTTAGAGCTTCCAATTTCGGTCAAATCTATTTTATTGAATCACTACATACCTGGACGATAAAGTCACAGTACACAGTGCGTTTAGTGGATGCAATACGAAAAACTTTGACAGGTAGAAGTGGGATTTTGGCACTGAAGAATTAGTCTTTCCAACCTAAGTCTTATAAACTTTGGAGGTGAGTTTAATAAACAGTGGTTTTTCTATTCATTAGTATGTACAGTTCGACTGCCTCATCCGTGACCAGAGCAAACACGCATACGCCATTTGGACCTAATTATTATTCTCAAAATAGGGTGGAAGGAAGGGAACTTTCTTTCCCTCGAGCATATAAATTCTCACTTTCCGGAGAAGAGAAGACTTTCACCTGACCTTTCACGTTGCAGCAAGTAATAACGCTCCTTTTGGACGAGTCTATGTGTTTTGGCAGAATTCCAGCCAAAGTTGCATTTGAGACGGTCGAATTATATTTGCTTTGGCTCCTAGAAACCTGAACTTATAAGCGGCTGAGTTTATTAATCAGTGAGTTATGGTGGGCACTGTATGTCTACTACCAAGGGCTGCGAAAATAAAGGCCAGGTAAGAGACATGTTTAATATATATATGAGCATGTGTATGTATGTATTTGTCTATATAAACAGACTAACGAAGTAACCAACTAATGACACAGAGCACAAATACTGCAAGCGCATGACAGGAAACTCCAAGGTATGACACTATATATGGTGTCTCTTCTTTATAGGTCTAAAGACACATCTATGCTGTATGTTCACCACATTAAATAACGATGATGGAATTTTACTACGTTGTGGAGGTAAATAATCTGCAGATAAAAGCTGGATGGGAAGAAACATACCCTATTACCTAGTTTTCTTTTCTTTCTTCTGCCCGGTCATTCGTCCGAAAACGAAAAAATTAATTTCTATAACCAACATGAAAAAAATATAACACACAAATATACCATCAGTACCTGTTGTTTTTAGCATTAAGAGAAAAGGATAAATCATAGATGGTGGGTATCTTACCTCGTAGTAGGCCAAGTAACCTTTCTCTCTGGTTGCTTCTCCTTTTTCTCCTGGTCCTTCAGCAGGAGAGCCAATATCCGTTTCATCCGGGTCTGAGAGCGTGTAAGATCGTCCATAGGTCGGAATTCCAACCACTAACTTCTTGGGATCGGCACCTTTCTTGATGTAGTGTTTCACCGTCCATTCCTAAAGAGTATCGACAAGTTAGTACGTTGAAAATGACCACAATTTCAGTTACATTGAACGAAACAATGGCTAGTTGTTGCCGCAAGGTACAACTTTACAAGAATTAACATCCAAAATCTTCCTGTTTCAATATAATACCTCAAAAATAAGTTTACTATTAAAAATTCAAATATGTGATTGAAAAATGCTAAAGAATTAAAAAATTAATTTGACGTAACTATGCTTACATCCCAGCTAAAAACAGAAAAAGAAGCAGTGTTCTCGCACCCCTTGAAGAGCACTGAATTTCGTTAGTAAAAGAAAGTGCAAAAATGGTCTTCAAATGAAGTTAGTATTTACTGGGAGGCGAATTATTTGGAGATACAGTGTGAAAAACTGAAAGGGGAAAAATCGTCTTCATGCCAAATATGGTTCTAGGATTTCTTTATTTCCTTCTTTATGCTTCATATACCGCTGTTAAAATCAGAAAGTACCAGTATTTGATTCTATAATAATAGCAGTTGTCGAGTTATGGCCTCCATAAAGAAAAATAAATGTTGTTCCCTAATGCATTGCGACTTTTTATTTATTGAACATTACCATAATATTGTTTTAGTTTTCTCCAAATTAATTTACAATGCTATGAAATTTCTTCAAGGAGCATGCGGTGGCTTCCTCAACCAGTTAGTATCTCTGAATTTAATTTTTTCATTTATGTACTAGTAAATAAAGGGAAAACAGAATGCTTATGATTTGATTCTTTTAATCCTATGTTATTAAGCGATGCTTGTATACCGGAGGAGATATTTCACTTACCACATTGAGGATACGATTAGGATCCCATTCTTCAAGTCCCGGCATCTCCCTGAGCGGTGAATGGTGATTGACGACAGGTTCATGAGCCGTGTGGTAATCGTACGTCAACAAATTGAAGAAGTCCAAGTTCCTCAAAAGAAAACATGAAAAATGTGTGAAGTCAAATTTAATATTTTAAAGTTCGGTAGATTTATTTGCTATAATAATATACATAAAATGCATATCGTCTACGCACATACGTAAGTATGCATCTCACACAACTCAAAAACGAGTAGCTGCAGAACGTTGAAATTTTGTATATGTGACTGCTAAACATGTAATTGTGTACCTTCCTTTTTCGTTGCAATCCGATGACTTCTGACTAATTTGATTATTAAGCAAGGATTCAAAGGCATTTTGGATTCAATGAACGGGCAGAAAAGTGTTTTATACTCTCATTGCTATTACTATGAAGAACAAATCACTTTCTCTATCTTTTATAACGAAAGATAGTGTCTGATTTCTCACAAGGTTGCTTGTCTAATTTGTTAAATCATCTAATCACAGTCATCGCCACTTAATATAATCGCTATCAACTCGCTCAAGATGCATCTATTTGTATAATTAATCATAGGGAATTCTTTATTTATTTTAATCAGCAGATCGTTTAACGTGATCAGATTATTGGATTCTCTATTTTTCCAAGCAAAATCATGTCATAAAGCTCTTCATGTAAGTCGATAACATTCTAAAATTAATCAAACATGGTTTATAAACATTCTTAAATTATGGAAACGCGTAAAAATTGTGATGCTGAATATATAGAGTCATTCTGTTTAAATACATGTGGCATGCAGTACATCAGCAGTTTTTAATGCATGGACTTTTAAATAGGATAATGAAATGAAGAATATCAATTTTCCTTACATACAGCCCCACATACAGCCATGTATGGTAAATTTTTCTCGAAAGCAAACTGATATTGATTTCCCTACACTAAATATCACATTCACAGTTCAGTTGTGTTATCAAGAAATTATTAGAGCGATGAAAAGGTATTTCTGATAGATTGAGCACTAGAATCTTTTCCAGCATAGAAAATGTGTATAAAAGCGTGAGTTAAGCTTAGAAAAACTTAACTTCTTAGTATTACTAAATCTGGTTAATATATCGTGTAGCCGCATCTCAGAAAGATAATAAAGAGCTATTTTTGTTTCGGTAAATGAAGAAACAGAGGAACGCAGGAAAGTAATTGGAAATACTGGATTGCATCAAACATATTGATAGGCAAGGTTAAAGGTTAAGTGCGAAATAAACATAAAAAACTCCGAAGACTTTCAGATTTCATATTACGCCCAAAAAGGCGTTTATTTCACGAGGGATTCAAAACGGGATTTGAAAAGTAATACAGACATTCAAAGACATTCGACGTAAAATACCATTAGACATGGTAACATCTTTACGTTGTCTAAGATGTAATATAAAGAATAATACACAATACCAGTAAGAAATGTAAAAAAAACCTCGCGCATAAAATATCCGTGCTTAAGATGTACGCGATGTTAATGTTAATGGAGTGCTTGAAATCGTTGAGTTTGTTAATAAAAAATTCATTAATTTCACAAAATATGAAATAGATAATGAAATAAATTCCAAATATGGGCTTTCAGAAGCCCATATTCGAGTGGAGGACTACATTATTCAAAATTCGATGTCTCTAGGTACCGTTGTTTTTTTCACAGTGCGAGAAACATACATACATTCATGCAGATTCTTCATTATTTAATTTCTTTAAATATAATACAGGATTCTAATATTTGGTGGCAGAAATTTGCGAAGTGATTCACACTTTTATAGTGAACCAACGCAAAATGCCAAAACGAAATTAATAGGCCTTCTGGGCAAATTGCCTCTTTGGGCTAATAAAAATAAAAAATGCATCCTGGCTTCTGAAGCAGTTAAAACAGACATCAAATATTGCTATTTTCATCTCGGATATATATAACAGCTGCTATTTTCTTCTCGGATATACACATAAAAAATATTCAAGAAAACCAGTTCAGCAGCAAAGGAATAAATACTGACTTCGAGATTGATCCCCCTCCCCCCCCCAAAAAAGCAGGAAAAATATCTTATTAAAAATGGTGTTATAAGTGTAAATTATGAAAATCTGAAGCGCATTAAGAAATAACGGAACTGCCATAATTGATGCGGGCATGAGCAACCTTTTCTATTTTATATGAAAACTTTGTTTGGGTTATCAGAATAAAAATATTATTATCCGAAACTTCTATGCTTAGCGGCTAGGATTAATGGTTAATACTGTATATTTGATGTGTATCCTTACTTGGAAAGGATTGGGATGTCGTATCCTTTGTCGATGTACTCTTTCCCGGCAGGAACGGCCATAGTCAACAATAGTTTGGATTTACCGCTGCTTTCTTCAGAATCGAATGCTTCTCGAAGTTCCTGCATTCGAGTAAAGAAAAAAATATTCGTGAATTATGAAACAACAATAACAGTAATAAAAAGAATAACCTTTCAATAGCTATAATTTTATATATTTTATTACCAATAATAAACCTATTTTATAAGATCTAGTTTTGAAACTGCGGATCCTTTTCACTAGACTAAATTCATCCGAACAAAGAAAATTTCGATGTAAAAAAAGGCGCACTGGAAATGATGCATTATAATAAAGAATGACGATACTACGTTTTTCGATAATAGGTCGCAGAGGAGAGAGAAATGGTTGGCTGAAACAAGGGTCATAGGAATAGAAACACTAAAGTCTCGATGTTAGATTCATAATTGATAATTTCAGTGATGCCAGAATCTTTTATCAAGATTCTGAGAATGCCAAGTTCTATTTTTTTCAGTCAAATTTAGATATTTTTGTCAATATAATTGTTATATACTGAGAGGCAGGATGAGTTAATAATCAGCTTAACTTATATAGCTGTGTATAATTATATCGTACAGAGTCGTAAACCAGCAAACTCAATCGCTAAATAAAATGAAATCCCATTTCAGTTAATTTAACAATAAGCACTAACTATCATAGCATTCCTACTATTAATTATGTTGTAATTTAAATTATGATGATCTTATTGAATTATGATGTGATTTAAATGAATAAGGATTAGAAAAACTCATCTAAATGGTATAATAGAGATATTTCTTTTCACTTATGTTATTTATCCTAAAAATTTCAATCTATCATCTTGAAACAGCCAAAGAAAGGGGGAAAAATCCTTCTTTTTTTAATCCTGTTTCTCACCTGAACAAGCTTTGCGTATCCTTCTCTATCCTCGTCTTGTCCTCCGTCACGGAAACCCGGATATTCCCAATCGAGGTCCAAGCCATCGAATCCGTGCTTTCTCAAGAAACTGACAGCACTTCTTACGAATCTCTGGCGGGTAGAACTGGACTCCACTAACTTCGAAAACCTGTCAAAGTAATGAGATAATTTAGTAGAGGTGGGTTCACACGAAAGAGGCAGCACAAAAAGAGGCTAAAAAGGTTCTAGTTATAAAAAAAATTCGAATCTAAAAACGCTTTATGAAAATTACAGTTCTGTATGTATTAAATTACAGTATAACTGAACTACACCAGTCACTTTCGAATCATATGGACGACAACATAGCAATTATGCCATCAGATATTTGGAAGGATCCTTAAAGCTGCATAAATAAAGAGATTGAATTAGCAAGTTAAATTATTACTGCGTTGAAATGGATAAAAAAAGGTCTGAAATCAATTAGCATCTTACCTATAATTAATAGCCAAAACAGGTGATAAATTTTCTACCTATGAACACAGAGTGAACAGTAACTATCATGTAAACATCTTGAAAACTATTTTCATTAGTCTTGAGGAAGAAAAGAGCAAACTGCTTAAGAAACAGTAATTTTGTTAAAGGACATCAGCCGAATGCATGTGATATTTAGAGGTTCTCTGAATGTCAATTATGCTACAATAGCTTCTCTTAGTATTAGAAATTGAAAAACGCTACGCCGACAGTGCTAACACGGAAACAATGTATTTCACATTCTTGTTCCTGTTACACTTTAAGAAATAAAGCACATTGTGAAAGACTAAATTTTGGGAGGCAGAGCAGATCCATAGAGTTTTCTGAATCATTCTTAATCTTTTCACTCAAAATTTATACATTATATTGTTGTTATGTTGACGGAATATATGCATTTCAAAAGCGCATTTCTTTCCATTCATTGTTTTTTCTTTCCATTCACGATACATTGAAAGTAATCATTGTTAACGTGAATAAAATATATTTATTATGTAAATATAGATGATTTGATTCTATAAGTCTTTTAGTTTTCTCAAGATTCAAATTGATCTTACTAACAACATTTTCACTTTCAAGATGTTCTTATCGAAGTAGACCAAAGGCCAAATGGATTTCGTCATATTTTTGCCAATGTTTGTTGATAAATAAGTCCTCAGATATTGAAGAAACTGAGGAAAATCTCTTTGAATCATTTATTATTGACAGTTATGGTTTACTGTCATTTATTGTCTTTGGCTTCTGACCTTGTTCCTTTTGGATTTCCCAATTCATTACCCCTTTATTCTAGAAGTTTGACTTACTGAATTTAAAAATCTTGATTTAAAAAACTTGACAAATAATTCATTAAAAGTAACCAAAAACTCATTATAAAATTAGCAGACTTCAAGTAATAATAAATTTTAAAATCCGAGGACAAAGAAACGACATTTAAAGGGAATGTACCTTTTGTGTAATTATATATGAATGTACAAAATGCGACTCAAACAAACAATTGGTATGATGTCTAATCTTGCAGTAAATTAATCTCCGATTGCAAAAAGGCCGACTAGTGACTGAGCGGATTAAAAAAAAATTCACTGAAAACTAATAGTTCGATACGGCTTAAATCCCGGCAAACGAGCTGGCAGCATTTGTGATTTCATATTCCCCCCCCCCCATATGTAAAACTCTTTTCAGACACATGCACGAGAAACGCAAAGTTGAGAATAAAACCCTGCCGTTCAAACGTTTTCCAGAAAGAAAGCATTTTTCAGAAATATTTCTTACTGCATTTTGCGTCTGTAGGTGTGACAAAATACTAAAACGAATACCCGCCTGTTTCTCTCGGGGTGTCTTCCACTAAGGCATCCCTCATTTTAGAAGATAACCCTTGTATCCTTTGACCTAATCAATTAAGCTAATTTAACAGACTAAGTACAAGTAGACATATTATTAAAAAAAATTCAGTTACTTTAACAGTGTAAATAAAATGGAGTACGTGAAAACTCAATTCAGTCCCGACTGGTTGTCTTTCTTCGGCCACTATCAAACTGCGGAGTACCAGTTGCTAGCGGTAAAGGACATTTACTTTCAATACGACTCGTGCTATCAACCTAAGACTAATGTTATATTATGTAAGTAATTTTCAATCGAAACTGATTCACTTTAAATGTCTTCTGTAAATGCCCATTTGACAAAATGTGAATCATTTTTTTTTTCAAATTTAATCTATATGTTATTGATTAACAAAGTAAGCTATTTAAAAACAATAGATGCAGTTCTTAAGAATATATTTTTTTGCTTTTCTAATCGGGTTGATTTAAACAAATATGCATTTAATTTATCATATACCTAATTAAAACTTCCGATATTTTTATATAATTCAGTTATATATTTTTCTCTTTAGTATATGCAGAAGATATGTAACGTTGCTATGTTGATCTAAATGTCTGTTGATCTATTATCCCATAAAATGTTTCGATATTCCAGCTAAGCTATCTGTATTGACATTGCATTGATAAACCATACAAACCTTAAAACAGCAATTTTAGTCGACCTTTAAAACCTGAACCCTTTCAACTTCTTTCGATATTTTATATGATATCTTTGCAATTAATGCGTCATTTTATAAACACAACGGTATATTAATAACCGATATACTGTATTTATATTACATTATTTTTAACAGCCTGAAAAAGGCTTTGAATAGGATAATTCAATTATGCAAATCCATAAGAGGAATCACTGATAATAATTTTCTGTAATACTATCATTCCGTAAGAAAATCAAAATAGTGTGGAGCAGTATTTGGTCTTCCTGAAGTTATATTTACATATATTTACGTATATATATGTATATATATATATATATATATATATATATGTGTGTGTGTGGTGTGTGTGTGTGTGTAGTGAAAATACGCAGCAATATTGATAGCGTAGCACGCAGATAGCATAAAACGTAGAATGTTGAATCCGTAATGAACATCAAGAAACTTTGATTACATAGAATGTTGATCCATCTGGCAGCGGAGGAACGTTAAATAGTCATCTTTATTTTAAAAAGCAAGTTGTGGCCGCAAACAAATGTTTTGCCTGTTTCAAAATGCTTACATTTTTAATAGCTTTGGAGTAAGAAAAGAGCAGCAGACAGCAGTCCAGCTAGGCCGAAGTGTTGAAAGCAAGTGCGTTGTGTTAAGGATCAAATCTTAATTCTGACTTAGTTACTTTTTTTTCTCAATGCATTTTTTTATTGGATAATTAATACTTCTGTAGAATTATTATTGGCTGTTTGAGTTCCATTCGTACTATCAGTGTCATGTAAGAGTCATATGACATAAGTAAGTCTCAAAATGACGCAGTGCAGAAAGCGATTACAAACAGCAAATAATAATAATTATACTGCATTATTAATTATTCAGTCATTGACAGTCGAAACTAACTCATTGTGAAGTAGGATTTCCTCCTGAACAGATGTCACTTGCGAATTTTCTAAATTTCGGCCTAGCTGGGCTGCTGTTTGCCGCTCTTTTCTTACTGAAAAGCTATCGAAAATGTAAGCGTTCTGAAACAGGTCTTAAAATAAAGACGAATATTTAATTTGCCTCGGGTGCAAGTTGCTTTTCATTATAAATCAGCATTTTGCTCCATCACTGTTTCTACAAGATCATTACTTGTAAGTCTGCTGTGTATATATTACTGAAAGAATTAATTAAAAGGTAAGAATTATGTGCAAAAATTGCTATTTTGTTATTAATATACATATGTATATATATAGTGAACCTAAGATATATTATCATTAAAATACTCAACAACTGCAACTCAGTCAAATATAGCTTGTCAAAAAATAACCCCAACATTTGATATATACATTATTTTCACATTCAGTAGTCAAATAACTTCTGCTTATAGCAATAGTTTTTGTGAGACTAATTTATTAAGCTTTAAAGCTATTAGATGATCTTCTGAAGCCGGGAAGAGTGACAAATCGACTATAAATTGTGCGGGACTCAAATCATAGATTTTCCAAGTGCTAATTGAACTTGCTACTATATCCATGAACCACAAGGTACGATAACATAAATCCATGAAAACTTATTTGCATTATTAGGTTCAAATTTTTATTGCGTTTTTGGTGCTACTTTGGTAGACGGTTGCACGGATTTTTGGCGATTTACGTTGGCGCAATTGTTGGCGCGATTTTTACAATCGTCAGCCATTTTGAAAAACGCTGTTTTTACGCATAGTAAAGTATTCGAAACTTAAAAAAAAAATAAATAAACATCCTTAAAAGTAATGGATTAATTTTGTTGAAAATGTCGTTTTTTAAGATGGCAGGCAAGTGTAAATAAATACATTTACTATCAGTATAAAGTACTAAAGTAAGGCTATTATTACTTTCATATAGCAAAAAAGGGAATAAAAACACCGCTATAAAAACATTGTGCCAACGTTTAATAATTAAAATATTACTGAAATTGAATATCGAATTAAAAACCATCATACCAACATTTAAAAGAATTAGAATATTATTAAATTCAAATACTTTAAAATACGTTATATAGAATATAATTAACATTAAAACATATGTGACAATAATTATCTCAGCAATTTTTGAAAATAGTGTATTAACTTTTTTTAAACAAAATTGAAGTATACAATTATAAAAGAAAAGAAAAATATGTACTTACATTTTTTGAGTCATTTAACCTGTTGTTTATTGATAAGTACCACAAAAAAATCGGAATGATAATTGAATCGGCTCTTTTAACCATCTTCATCTGTGATCTACATTTCTCGCACTTCATTGAAGAAGCAATTAGCGAGGTTTCCTCCAAAAATTTAAAATTAATTTCCTCTGACGCTATTAACAATTTATAAATAAATCTTTGATTAGGAAAGACAGGTTGGCCAAAATAAAGACTCAAAGGGCAATTTTTTTTTATTCCAATAACAATAATTCTTGGTAATTCCCAATAACATCATTCATCTTCGAAACGGAGATATCCATTCCATTTGAAATCTGAGGAATTCGAAGAGATGAATAATAAAATTTTAAAATGGCGCGGTAATGCACAAATATTCAGTAACCAATCAGGGAGCTGATTACATCACGCATAGAATTAAAATTATTTAAATAATCTTTCATTATAAAATCATTTTTAAAACAAATGCAAAATTAAATTTTATTTTAATATTTAACAGCCATAAGTAATGTTTAAAACATTAGATTAAATTTATAGATATTAATAACACCAATTACTTTTTAAGTAAGGTGACGTCATTGATTACATCATCCACAATATAAAATATTATAAACAACAAAATTTTTATTTCAAATAAAAATGTAAAATTAAATTGATTTTTAATATTTAGAAGCCATAAATAATATTTAAAACACCGAAGTTATGCATAATAAAACGCATTATTTTTTTAATAAAATGACAACAAAGTATCGGTTACCATAAATAACTTATCCAGCAATGGGTTTACGATAAGTTGTATTACTCGCCAAAAGGCAAATCGCCAAAAAGTCGCCAAAATACGTGCAAGCGTCTACCAAAGTAGCACCGCGTTTTTTAATAAAATATCCAATTTTTGAACGTTCTGTGTAATCTTCCTCGCCCCTCCCAAAAAAGTCGTTCTTACCTTTTAGATCCTTCATTCCATCCTCCTACTGCTATCATGACTTTCAACTTCGGATTATATGTTTTGAGATTGGTAAATTTCTTGTAATTACCTGTAAAAATATTCAGCAGAAACAATACTCATTAATTGTAATAAAGTTTTTAAAAATTTTATGCTGTTATAGAATATGCTGACTTTAATTCTATTATAGCGTAACTCAAAAGAAATGTTACGCTAGCCATACGGTCAAGTTTTATAATAATCACGTAAAATGTTAATAAAAATAAAACAAAAGAAATAATTTAATTATTAGAGTTTATTATCTCGCATGTTGTTACACACATAATTATTACGATAACAAGAATCATAGTGCAATGCACATATGAATTGAATAATAACTCTAATTAATACATAACTCATTTTCTTTTAGTTAATGGAAGGAAAAGTATATAGATCAGTAATTTATAGTGCAATCCAAGTTGCTTGGGTAACAAATGATCGTACGTAATATCTTAAACGTTAACTCACCCAATTGTATGTCATTATACGAATCGAAAGGTTTTAGTTCATAATCTTTGTTCATTCCTGCAAATGCGTAGATGAGGTGCGTGCACATGTATGGATTGATGTTCTCTGGCGTGAATTTGGCAAAACCTGGCCGATAGATGGCCCAGTTGGCATAATAGCAAACTAATTTCATGTCATGGGTGGAGCTCCTTTTGGCAGCATCTGTTGAAAGAAAATGGAGTTGAAAGAAGTGAGACATTTATGATTTTGCATTGCAGTTAATCGGCGTACGATAATATGAACAATTTAATTGAGTTTTTATGAATACTAAATACTTTTACTAACCATGATACAGCCCAATAATGGCCGAGTGTTAATGTTGCTGAACACTGGTAGTTCGACCTAGGTTCTACTCCAGGCAGAGGGGTTGGCTAAATGGGCATTTTCTTGGTTTCCCCCATGTGTAAGGCAGATCCGCGCAGATTTCCTTTGAAAAGTCCTCCATGAAAGCATCCCACCCCTTAAGCAGACAGTCTTCCCGTATTGTAAAGTATTGTAAATAGGAATTCAGATAATGTCTAAATGTACACATAGCTGTCATGATTTTATGTATCTATCATATGTAACTTGTACAAGACAATGATTGTAATCAACATATCTATGCTTATACACAGGCCTTGTATGCTCATGTAATATTTATATGTATATTTTTACACGGAGGAAATTTTCCCTTCTGCCAGGATGACTACTAACACTGTAAGACTTTTACAACAAAGTCAGGTCAGTGGTTATCTCAGGCGGCGCTCAGTCTTCCCGTGCTTTGTCAAAATCAGATAAACCAAAAACCACGAAACATTCTTAAACAAGTTTGATTGGTTAATTGGTTAAAGTGGTCATCAGGAGCACACGGTACCGGGTTTAAATCCTGGCTAACGGCTGACTGTATGGGAGGTTTCATGGTTTTTCCATGCATAATTCAAGAAAGAGATGGTCTCAGGGTTTTTCTACGGAAAGTGACTTATATATATGTTACACACCGGGAAAGCATGAAAACCCATGGATAGCTAGATTATTCTCTATATTTCGATGCTCGTGTAGAAATACCAGTGCTCGGTGGTTTTATCCTCTTATACAAAGATGATAGCCATTTCAGGCTTTTCGCTTTAAAAAATGATTCAAGCGTGAATTATGGGTCGAGTAGATATGATAAATGGAGTAGCACATCAGCACTGAATAATTTAACAATTCGTGAAAAGATGTCTATATAATGATCATAAATTCTTACTGTGAAAATTTCAGAAATAAAAAATCATTTGAGGATGCAAGATAAATTATTAATACTGAAACACATCAACTTCGAATTCGTGGATCAGCCATTGCTTCTTTGTAGCATGCAGTCTTATGCCTCAGATCTCCAATACCGTAGAAGAAACGAAACTATACGATCCAAAATTTATTCCATTAGGAAAGAGCAATGATAAACATAGTTTTAAATAATCTGTAGACAGATGCAGGTGTTAGCTACATGTCCGGATAAGAAATCTATTTACGAAATGAAAGCACGACCATTTTCTACTTAATTACATTTTATTAGTATTAAATTTACATAATTAAAATGTCAGTTCTTTTTAAGCAGGTAAATTTGGTCCAAAAACAGAGAAAAAAGGGGACTGTATAAAATAATTAATTAACTAATTCATTAAGATAAAATATGGAGAGATGAGAAGAAGGATGCTCTCATAGGGGGCTTTCTAAGGGAATTCGGATATTTCGTTACATACGAAAAAACTCGGAAATGCAGATGCAGCTAGTCCAACGTAAGCTACCAGAGTTTAGCTGTCTCATCTCCTCGGCCATTGGGATCAAGAAGGTCTTCAGATAGTTTTCATTGATATTTAGAATGTTAAGGAAGTTTTGTTTAATGCTGATGCTGATAGGGAAGAAAACTTCAAAGTATGCCGCAATCACGATAAAGCGATCGTCAGCTATATCTTATTTCACGAAAAAGTTAAAAGCTCAACATCTACTTAACCAATAGTTTAAAAAAAGATAAAAAGATCTAATCTACTTAAACTAAATCCAGAATTTAAACAGAAATAATTAAAGTTAATTAAAAAAATACAGCCGGAGTTTTTTTAATTAACTTTAATTATTTCAACCTTTGATCGTAATTAACATTTTTTTCGAACGTATGCTAACGAATGGATGGATTACAGTTGTTACTATTGTTAATTATATCCTTTTAACGCGATTTCCTTAGCACACTTTAGTAGTTTAATTAATCGCGAAAATTGAAGCTCTCATATGCATTTAAATTTGTTTGCAAATAATATTAGTGAGCTTTTGAAACGAGTATTTGTTTCTAGATTACATTGCAGCATAACTTTCAACACGTGAGCTGCATATTTAGGTTACTCAAAGAATGGTAAACTCTTTTCATTACTATCTGTAGCAGAAAGTAGAGCACTTGCTATAAGCTGTGACACCCATATAACTGGGAGAGTTTCTTATGCCAAGAAAATATGTCTTAATCCTGGAAGGATCTCAGCTATGCATAACGAACAACGTATTATCTCGTTATTTAACAATTTTCGCTATTTTCCTACATTCCAAGCCATTGTTTATGAAAGAGGAATGGCAATTATCTATAGAATTTGCTTACAAGAGGACTGCATCCATTCTAACTCTAAGTCCTTCGAAAAAGATGTCAAGAAACTTATAATCTGATCTATCAAATTTATGTTTAACTCTAGAAAATGATATTCTTGCAGTGCGAAACGTGAAACTCCTTTAAAAAGTCCGAATTCAGTTTTTCTAAAAACTGCAAGAAATTTGGGAACAAAACAGAAGTTACTAAGTTTCCGAAATCTGAAAACTGAATTTCATTGAAACGTAAACTAATACCATATTCTTTCAAAAAGATTTTGCATCACAAAAACTGGTAATGATTCAGAAGACGATATATTGCAGGATATTAGATACTAAAAGTAATTCAGAAGAAACTGAGTCAGTTTCAGAATCAGTCAGAATAATCAGACTGTGATATTCATTCAGAAGGAATTAATGAATAGCATACCCGCTGATAGCACTGTGCTGCAATTAAGAAATTATATTTTTTCCCCATCTTATGACGTTTTTAGATATTTCTTGTTGATTTCTTATTTTTGAATATGAATATGAAATTTAATTTTTAGTGTGATTTATCAGTTTTCAGAAAATCGAGAATCGAGGGAAAAAATTATCTTGTGTCAAGATTTGGATTCAGATTTACTAAATTATGATAAAACACACTAGCGCTGGCTGTATAAGAAGAAGGATGCCTCTGTGGAAAACATTCTGGGGAAAAACTATCTATTTTTCTTCTGTGCATGGGGAAAACCAAGAAAATCTCCAGGCATTCAACCGACATTTGAACTTACTCCAGACTACCCTGCGCTCAAAGGTTTTATTCTCTTGATTGCTGGTGGGCCTACATTTACCAGGAAACTACTCTTAGAATACATACCTACATATCCTTAGTTTTTATAACTATTTTATAAAATTGGCTTAAATAGTTCTTTTTTTTTTTTTTTTTTTTGGTCTACTAAAACTTTACATGATTTGTGTTCCCCGGAAAAGGCCAACAAATGTGACGTCAAAGCCACTCACTTGTGATGTCTCATCGGAAGTATCGCTATACTGGAACAATGGAATGCATATATTTGAAAGAGAAAGCAAAAATGTATGTATATATACATATATACACACATATATATGTATGTAATTTTATTTTTTCGTTGCTGAATACCAAATGCTAGAAACTTCACTGTATAGCCACTGAAAATCAGCGGTGTACTGTATTGGGTCATCGTATAAATTTTTTAATACTTCTCTTATTTCTTAAAATTAAGATAGGCAAAATTATTTTAAAATCTAAAATGTACTCTCATTTATCCTGTGCTAGTTCTTAATAGTTAAGATGAGATTTTATTCTACCAGTGTTGGCAGAATGTCCAAGCTCTTCTTATCTTCAAGGAGGAGGGTCTTCTTCTAGGCTCGAGATTTCGGTTTGGAATTTCTGGAACTACTTTTGACACTGGCTTACGCATTTTATCTTATCTCACATACTGTATTAATATCACTATTAATAATTATGTAATTAAACTCATATAAAGCAAACTATGTCGAATAATCTCCTTTTGTGACTTCCATTTAGGATTGAAAAAATAACTGTTAAATAGAAGTCCACTCTTCAAAACTTGCATTAAAATAAGAGCAAGATAATATTACTACCTGCTTTTATAGCAAGTTGATGCAGGTAATCTTGTCATCCTCTTTACTTTTAATTTTATTTCAAATTTGGGATAACCCAATAATATGTGCTTATAAGGTATTTTCCCTCCTTCCCTAGCGTGCCTTCGTGGTGTAACGGTAGCACGCTGGGCCGGTGTTCCAGAGGCCCGTGGTTCGATTCCCGGTGAAGGCGGTTGAATATTTTTCATCTTTTTCTGCTTCCAATTAATCGTAATGACTCTGCAGTGGCGCCCGAACTAAAAGGTTTATGGATGATGATTCTCCACACCCAGGCCTTAGCGACTAGGTCCCCTAAAACCCTAGTCGCCCTTTAAAAAGGGGAGTATATAAGGTATTTCTCCCGCTTTCCAGCGTGCCTTCGTGGTGTAACGGCAGCACGCTGGGCCGGTATTCCAGAGGTCCGTGGTTCGATTCCCGGCGAAAGCGGTTGCTATTTTTCATCTTTCCTGCTTCCAAATAAACTAGCGTCTCTACATGCTGACTCATGATTATTTTTACGGAATACCATATGCAAAAAAGAGTGCATGTGGATTATTTTCGAAGTTAATATTTTCTATGGTGGCAATGATGATTTTTATTACGGTTATAGACGTTCCAGATTTTTCATTATTCACTAGCTCTCTCAGTATCTCAAGTTGGCAATACTAGATTTTATTTTTATTTAAGAGAAACGAAATATTTGTATGATATTATATTTTAGATGTTGCTATATATTTTAAGTTTTTAAAACACTTAACAACTTAAGCTCTATTTAGAGGCACTGTGTAGTCTGAAGCTTTCATACTGTAGTTTTTTTTATCTACTTAAGACAAGTTTTAGGTAGAATCCTTCTCAAAATATTTTATTTGCTTTCCGAGATGGTGGTTGAAATCGAGGGTCATGTCTTAGAGTGTGTAGTTGTGTAATTTTTTAAAAGAATGGAATATACG